TAATAACTGAATGTGATGATAACGACGATGAGAATGATGACGACGATGACGATGAGGAGGAGGAGGAGGAGGAGAAGGATAAGGAGGAGAAGGAGCATGAGGAAGGAGGAGCAGGAGGAGGAGTGCGAGCAAAAGGGCCACAGGTCTGTTGGATGCCTTGTCGGAGCCTCTTGGGATATCGCTTGGGCGTTTCTGGGTGGCCTCTTGGGACGTTTTGGGGATCTCTTGGCGGTCCTGGGGGGCTATTGGGCGTCATGGGTGCCTCGGGGGGCCTCTTGGAGCGTTTGGGGGGCATCTTGGGTGCTTCGGGGATTCTCTTGAAGCCTTTTGGGGGCCTTCTGGGGGGTCACTTGGGAGCCTCTTGGGCCGGTATCGGGAGCTCTAGGTGCGTTTGGGGGCCATATAGGAGGAGATCGATCCAAGAAGGGGGGGGGGGGTTAGCGCCCCCCCACACAAGAGGCCAACATGGGGCCAGAAACGTAATAAAGTCAATGAGTTGGCCTTCCTCGCCGAGGCCGTTTGGGACGCTCCAACGCGTCGCGCCCCCACCCCCGTCCAGGTCCATGGGGGGAGGGGGAGGGGTAAACCCTTCCCCGAAGTGGAAGAAAGGCGGTTGGAAGAGGAAGTTCCCTTGACCACCTACGCCCAGAGGGCTGGGTCGATTCCCAGACATCCGACGCCGTATTCTTTCACAACGCGGGCCCCTTGAGATCTGGACCCCGTCACCAAGGCTTGTTTTCACCCTCGATATCCCACCAACCCTCTGGGCGGAGGTGGTCTAGGGAACTTCCGCTTCCAAACCCTTTTTTCGTCCCCGTCGGGGATGGGTTTACCACTGCTCCCTATTAGTATACGCCTCTCCCCCAAGCGACTGGTAGCCAACCCGAGACAATAAGGGCCCCCCCCGCGCAGCGAACCCGATGCGGCCTCTCCCCACCATCCGTTTCAAAAAAACAATGCAGAGTACATTTAGCGGCTGCGGCGGTTGCGGCGGCGGCGGCTGCGGCGGTGGCGGCGGCGGCGGCGGTGGCGGCGGCGGCGGCGGGGGTGGCGGCGGCGGCGGCAGCGGTGGCGGCAGCGGCTGCGGCGGCAGCGGCTGCGGCGGCGGCGATTCGGCAGCGGCAGCGGCGGCGGACGGCGGCGGCGGCGGCGGCGGCGGAGGCGGCGGAGTCGCCCCCAGTAGCTGCCCATCCGAAGACGGTTGTTGAATATGCTTCGGCTCGGGCCAGGCTCGGGTGCTACGTATGTGTTGGGAGGGCGGGTGGGAGTGAGCGAGACGGCTTGCGGGCGAGGAGGGAATCTTGACCCTTCCCCCGTACCCCCTCCCCTGGACCTGGACGGGGGGGGGGGCGCGACGCGCTGGAGCGTCTAAAACGGCCTCGGCGAGAAACCCAAAATCATTAATTGTATTAACTGTTTGGCCTCATGTTGGGTTATTGGGGGGGCAGCGCTAATAATAAAACATGATCAAATAAGTGTGTATATATATACACACACATATGTATGTATATATAAAAAATGATTTGATTGATCTCCCCCAAGATTGCCCCAAGAGCGCCCCTAAAGCTTTCAAAAGCGCCCCAAGAGGCACCCAGGCGGCCCCAAGAGGCCTTCAAGAGGCTCCCAAGAGACCCCCAAGAGGCCCCCAAAAGGCTTCAAGAGGATCCCCGAGGCACCCAAGATGCCCCCCAGACGTTCCAAGAGGCCCCCCCGAGGCACCCATGACGCCCAAGAGCCCCCCAGGACCGCTAAGAGACCCCCAGGACGTCCTAAGAGGCCACCAAGAAGCGCCCAAGCGATATCCAAAGAAGTTCCGAGAGGCATCCAAGAGACCTCTGGCCCTTTTGTTCGCCCTCCTGCTCCTCGTTCCTCCTCCTCGTTTCTCCTCCTCCTCCTCCTCCTCCTCCTCCTCCTCCTCCTCCTCCTCCTCCTCCTCCTCCTCCTCTTTCTCCTCCTTCTCTTCCTCATCATTATCATATGTATCGTTCTTCTCCCCACTCCCTCATCCATCCATCCGGCCTCCTTCTCCTCCTCCCTCCTTCGCACTATTCGGCCGTCCATCCCTTTGCTCCCGCATTCCTCTGATCACCCCAGCTCACCTGGACATCGTTTCTGGATGGGCTGGTGGGGATGCGCGAAGCGTCTAGAATTTCAAACGTTCCGCTTAAGCCCACCATCCCATCCAGAAACGATGTCCAGGCGAGTTGCCTTGATCAGGGATGAGGAGCAGCATGCAATGGAATATCGGGCTGGGAAAGCCGTCATATCTGAAGAGAGGGTGGATGGAGGAGGAACTGGAGGAGGAGGAGGAGGAGGGGGAAGGGGAAAAGGGAGGAGGACGAAGGAAAAACAGGCAGAGGTGGAGGAGAAGGAGGAGGAAGAGGAGCAGAACGGCCTGAGGCCTCTTGGATGCCTCCTGGAGTCTCTTCGGGTGTTTCTTGGAAGTTTCTTTGAGTCCTCTTGGGGCGCCTTGGGGGCCTCTTGGCGGTCATGGGGGCTTGGAGCGTCTTGGGTGCCTCGGGAGAGTCTCTTGGGGCTCTCTTGGGATCCTCTTGGGACCTGTGGGCCTCTTGGGGGTTTCTTGGGAGCCTCTTGGAGACCACCTTGAGGCCTCTTGGAGCCTCCTGGGCGCTTCTTGGGGCACTATTGGGGAACTCTTAGGGGCCATCTTGGGGCCATCTTGGAGAAGATCGATCAAAGAGGGGGGGATATTTTAGACCCCCACACGAGGCCAAAAGTGACCCTAAATCAAAGTAAAGTCGATGATGCTTGCCTTCTCGCCGAGGCCGGCTTGGGAGCTCCAATCGGTGGCGGGGCGCCCCGTCCAGGTCCAGGGGTAGGGGGAGGGGTCAAGACACCCTCCCCGTCCGCAAGCTCTCTCGCTCACTCCCTCCCGCCCTCCCAACGCATAAGTAGCTCCCGAACCTCAGCACGCTCAGCGGCCGTCTAGGGTTGGACAGCTACTGGGAACCAAACAGACCCTATGCGCGCGACGTTGGGGCGAGGTGCGCCACGCGTGCCGGGCGCACCACGCGCGCCAGGTGCGCCGTGCGCCAGGCACCCTGGAGCCCAAGCGTGCCAGACGCGCCTGGCGCGCCAGATGCGCCGCGTGTTCCACATGCGCCATGTGTGCCACATGCTCTCCGGGGCGCGCGCAGAGCATCTTCTAAGAAAGCGGCGGGGTCTCAAAGAATGAAGAAGACTTCTTGGAAGCCCGCCCAGCTTCGAAACAGCCTTAATGAAAGCGCGACGGACCCTTCCAGAAAGGCCCCCGCTTTCTTAGCTCCCTCGCGTTTTTTAGAAAGCCGCCCCCCCGCTCGGGCTACCCCCCTGCGCTCGCCGCCAAAGGCGATTGTGGCGCCCATTGGAAACAACAGAAGCTGTTATCGCATCGCGTTTTCCCATTGGCCCATCCAGAAACGACTGATGCAAGTTGTCGCGAAAATGGAAGTGGATCAGCACCAGCGGCACAAAGAGGGGGGACACCAGAAAAGCTGAAGCTGGGATCAGCCCAATCCGCCTCCAGCGGCAGCCAAGTTTGCGGACCCATGGCGGCCTGTTGGAGGCTCTTGAAGCAACGTTAGCCTCCTTGCCTGTCTTATTGGGAGGCTTTGGGGTGGGCTTGATTCTGCGCCCTTCTGAGAAAGGCGCCGCCGCTTAAAAAGGAGGGCGGGGCCAACGTGGGGTCCTCTGGGGGGGTTCTTGGATTCTTTTGGGGGCAATGTTGCAAACCTCTTAGATGAATGGGAGACCTCCGGGGCCTCAGTGCAGTTTTTGGAGGGCCTTTTTGCTTTCGAGGCCGTCCTGAAAGCCAGCAGCCAAAACAGAGGGCGTATTCGATTCGGCTCGGCTTGTCAGAACCTTACACGGCATGCGCTGAGGGGCGGGGGCGCTATTACACAGCTTGAACAGGCGACGAGCAATAATGTTGTATATAGGCAAGCCGTACGGCTGGGCCGGCACCGCCGACCCTGGCAAGCGACGACGACGACGACGACGACGACGACGCAGCCCTTCTTAGAGCTCTCTGGGGAGCCTCTTGGGCTCTGGTGGGTTGTTGGATTTTTTGGGAAGTTCCGTGATCGCTTGGAGCCGCCTCGGAGCGGATTTGAGGCCTCTTGGAGCCATGTGGGAAATACGCAATACCCCGAAACAGCAAACAAGAGTGAGGAGCGTGCCTCCGGAGGGGGGTTCGGGATCGGGGAGGAGAGGGGGGCGGTGATCCTCTATGTCGTGATTTCCTTCTCAGCAGGAAGACCACCCCCTTGTCCCACCCTTGGGGGAGGGGAACCCCCCACCTGGCAGGGAAGGGATCAAAGAGAAGTTTCCCTTCGAATCGTTGCTTGATTTCCGTTTGGATCGCTTGAGCAAGAGGGCCCAGGGAAAGGGGGGGAAGCGGCGCCAGCGACGGCGACGACCCCACCGGAAAAACGGCGCACACATGCCAACAGGGTTTAGTCACATCGGACAGTTTCGATGTAGTTCAGATTGAGCTTCTGCATATACAGCAAATACGCAGCCACCTATGATTATGAATTTCATCATTGCGTGGTGCGTCTTGTAATTGGAGCGACTGACCGTGTACCGTGTACCAAACCCGCACCATGGAAGGACGAAGGCCTTTAGATGTTTTTTTTCAGATATTCGGCACGCGTGTCAGACTGCATTTCGACGTACTTGTTCCGATTCAGGTGAGCAGGAGCAGCCCTCCGATCCATGATGCCCTGATCGCTCACGTTCTTTTCACAGCGAAATGGAAAAGAGAACTACGATCGCCAGACGAGTTTTTTTACGAACAATACACGTGACTAAGCACCCCATCGGCGCCATGGTCACAGCAATCTACGGGGCATAGGTAAGACCACAATGAAACGACTATCGGGCACCGCTGGATCACGGAAAGCTTGGCCTGTCGTTGCAGGTTCCAATGTAGTCTCGGTTTCGTGCGCACGGGCATGCCGGTTCGGTGGCTATTGTAATTGGTATTTGCCGTGTTTCAGATTTGGCGTCTCAGTTGATATTGTTCGGTGCTTCATAGATCCAGCATGCCAGAGAGGCAGACCAGTTCAATCCATCGCGCGGGAGACGCTATTGAAAGTCTTTTTGGGAGGCTGCGTCACGGTAGCACCATATCAATGTTATGCAATGCGATCCCGGTGAGCCTCGCCGAGCATATTGATCAATGTTGAATGCGTCTGTTGCGATTGGACAGCACATCGAGATGAGTTGACGTGGAACAGTTGTTGCTGGAAAGTTGATCATGTGAACGATTTCACCTGGCAAGTTTTATCTTCCCGCGGCATGCGACTTCACATGTTGCAGTATGTGTGTGAAATATATATATATATATATATATATACATATATGTATATATATATATATACACAAGACTGCAGTGACGCTTCGCGCCATGCACCTTGGTCCTTGAAGTTTGGAATGCAGGCGGAATAGCAGGAAGGTCAAGCCGACAATTTAGCGATGACTCCTGGTTGCCTTTTCCGGCATCGCCGCTATAATGATGTTATTCGTCATCTTTCCTCCATGTTTATTGTTCTTCATTTTCGCCATACCCTTCGCATTTCCCCCATCCTCCTCAGCTCTTTTTCGGAGGCTCCTCCTTGGAGAGCCTCTAGGGGCCTCACAAAAGTTGTTTCGGGCTTTCTTAAGGCCTTCTGGAGGCCTCCTGGGGGCGTATTCTGGGGGCCTCCGGGAGCTTCCTCGGGCCACCCTGCCTCCAACCGCCGCCTCCCTGAACGACCGAATCACGATTTGGAATTCTTCGGAGGGTGTCTTTGGGCCATCTTGGGCCGCCATGGGGCTCTCTGAGGGCCATCTTGGACCCGTGTTGTGCCGTTTTGGGGCTCTTTTGGATTGCCTGGAAGTCCTTTCGGATGGTTGTGGGGCGATTTGGGAGCCTCCCAGGCGGCTTCGGACGCCCGGAAGACCGCCGTCTTGGAGCGTTGGAAAGCCGAAAAGAGGAGAACCCCAAAATTCACCAAAAAACCACATAAAATTCATGGTTTTTGCCTCGGGGGGCCTTCTTGGGAGGCCTCTTTGGGGCCGTCCTGGAGGCCTCTTGGGCCATCTTGAGGTCACGTCGGTCACTTTTGGAGCGCTCTTGTGCTGTCCAGGGGGTCTCTCGGACGTCTCCGATGACCCCCTGATCGCCCTAAGTGTGCTGGGAAGGCTTGGCAAAACGCCTTGCGAGGCCCAGTGGCCGCTTCGAGGCCCGTCCGAATGGGGCCCCAAAGCCCCAGGTCCCGGGAGTCCGTTTTTTTTTAGGGGGTGATGGGTTTTCCCCCCGCCCGGGCTTATAAAAATATAGGAAGAGGAGTGTGCATATATATACATATATATAATATAATTATAACAATAATAATAATATATATAAATAAAATAATAATAATATAATATAAAAAAATATATGAACAAAAAAAAAAAAACAAAAAAAAAAAAAAAAAAAAAAAAAAAAAAAAAAAAAAAAAAAAAAAAAAAAAAAAACAAAAAAAAAAAAAAAAAAAAAACGAGCTAGTATTTGTTTGATCGTGGGTATACATCTACCCATATCGTGGACAAGTTTAAACAATGAGGGAACGAAGAGCAAGAGACGGAGACGAGCCCAGAAGAAACAAATTCTTGACGCTTCGCGTATCCTCACCAGCGTCCGTAGCCTCAGGCTCAAGCCGTCTGGTGAGCCTGCTCTCTCCGGGGCAGTCTCCCACCGCTCAAGGGGGCGCCCGAACGCTGCGCCGCGGGCCCGCGGCCTTGGACCCCCTCCGGCCTCCTGGGCGCGCCGGCCATTGCTGCTGCAGCGCTGCCGGACAGCGCGGGCCTCAGCCACACATACCCTTGCAACAGTTTGTGCCCACGGGTGAGCTCCTCGGCTGCTGCGGCCAGATGGCGGGGAAACGGATCGATCGGATAACACCGAGGGAGGCGGGGACCACTCAGTGCATGGCGAGGGAGCCCAGGAACTGGCCACGGTCGAACTCCCCTCGGACCCCAATCAGATCCAGACTCCTCACAGACAACAGCCCCCCTTCCCCAGCGGGGCAGACCAGGATCCAACGCCAGTTGTGACCATGATGCCCCCAGCAACGGCACGCAGCGATCCTGAACCAGCCCAGATGCACTGCTCCTCGGGATGCGATGGCAATCCAGAAGGGGACGAGACGAGGCGACAAACCCCCAGGGATGCTCTCGACACCCCAGACGAGGCCTAGTGTGGGAAGAGATGGTGGCGGGCTAGAAGGGGACGACAGAGAAAGGGAGCTGACCGTGCAGGTCGGGGGGGATAGGGGCCCGACTCCTGCCATCCCCACCCCAGACCCCATCATGACCCCAGTCCCCCTCACGCCACACCCCTCCCCCCTCCAAGGAGCCGCCCAGGAGCCACTGCTACTGACAGTAGGGACAATACAACTGTCAGCGGCGGTCAGCTGCGACCCTATGGGACCCCGAGGAGCAGCAGATGCCATGGACCCCAGGACGGGCCACGATAAGGAACCGCAGCACACACCAGGCGCGGACGGGATCCGCCCCCTCGAGGAGCAGATGCCCATATCCCCCCAGACCGTGGCTAGCCACACCCCCGGGGTACCCGCTCGCGACGGAGACGGAGACACCAACCGACAAATAGAGATCACAGCGGCGATCAGCTGCGACCCCCGAGGACATGAAAGAGAGAATATAGCGGCGATCAGCTGCGACCCCCGAGGAACTACAACACCGGACCAGGCCGAGCAACACATTGGAGGAGACATTTCGAGGGGCCTCGAGGCCTACGAGAGCGTGCACATCAGGACCGCGGTCGGACAGCGCCGCGACAGCTCTGGGGAAACACTCCCCGCCCTCCCCCCTCTTCCAGCGCGCTCCTCCTTCGACCCACTTCCCTTTTCCCCCCCCGGCAAGTGCGGACACGGTGCGCGCTCCCAGCGAAACCTGCACCATCTCCCCCACGCTTCCCTTCTATCCGATCGGACCAGAAGGGCCACAGCAGCCCCAGGGGGAGATCGGAGGGAGACGCTTCCTGAGGAGGGGAGCCCGACGGCCCGACGGAGGCACCCCCGTCAATGGCGCAGACATCGCCAGACGGGAGCCCAGCGTGATCGCGGCCGGATCGGATCCCGCTATCCAAGAACGCCCGACCGACCCTCCTCCAGGCCTCCCCTCCCCACCACTGCCTGGCTCAAACCAACGCGGGCAAGGGGGCCATCGCCACTGCCCTTCTCCGGGCGCCGCCAGACACTGGCAGGACTACTCAGACAGCTCAGAGGGGGAACACTCACCCGCCAGGCGAGCAATCCCTAACTACCGCTACAGCCCCAGCTTCGATAGGCTGCACTACCACCCACGGCGATGCGGAAGTCGAGAAGCAGACGGGCCCCACTTGGGCCCCCGGGTTGCGGACTCTAAGGGAAACCAGACGAGGAGGCACCCTCGCGGCTCACCGCGAGCCGCGGGCGGGCCCGTGGAGGGACCTACCCAGAGGAAGGGTACGCGACCAAACGATGCACCAGGGACTAAAGAACCCGGTACACTTCCGCTGGAATCGCCACCCCCCCGGCCACCCCGGACCTCTTCCAGGGCCCCAATCACCGGGAGGCGCGCCCACCCACTCAGGGCCTCTCCCGATCGGGGCGCGCAGCCGGAGCAGAGACCCGTCCGTCAATATTACGCCATCGGCCAAGCACTGGCCAAGCTTGAACTTCCCTGGCTCGTCTGGTCCATAACAGGCGCCAACCACGAGGCGAGGCGCCAACCAGGAGGGGTAGGACCAGACCCAGTGCAGGCGCTGGCCTTTAAACCTCAACCGCCCCAAGTGGCACCTAGAACATTTGCATCTGGCACCTAGAACTTGCCCGTCTTTGGGCCAATTGGCCTTGACGCAGCACGAACCTGAGCCGACGAGGACTTACCCTCCCCAGGAAGAAAACCCCGACGAAAGTAGCCGCATGGTATCGGCTTCAAAATGGAGCCGTGTTGGGCAATATTGAGGCCATAGGTGTCGCCCCTCAGCCATAAGGGTTCATCTTGGAGTTGGATTGAAACCAACATGGGTTCATGGGATCAGCTTGGGCCATGTCAGGGTCGACTCGGCACCCGGTGGTGTTCCTGGCCCCATCTTAGCGTCATAGGGGCTTTATTTGGGTATTGTTGGGGTTATTGGGGTCACCTTGGGACCATCTTGGAGTCACGAAATCGCATTGCACTTGCGCCGCGCAATCGCATTGGGGTCATCGTGGGGCCCTGATGGGGTCGTCTTGGAAGCATCGCGGGGTCACAGTGGATCGCCTTTTCGTCGTGGGGCCATCCTGGTGTCGCGTTAGGGTCCTGGGGCCATCCCAGGAAGACGGCGTCACGTGAAGGTCGCGTGGGAATCGCACTGCGACCGCGGGCCGCGACAAACCTCCTGCTCACTATCCTACGTTGCGGGGGGGGGGGCAGCAAAGCAGCGTGACCACAGCCTGGCGGCGCGGGGTCGGCGGTCTGACCCTGGTGACACAATCGATGTTTAGGGGGGTTGCAGGGCGCGCGGCAACTGCGGGCTGCGCCAAGATGGCTACGTGGCCAAGGGGGGGGGGAGAAAAAGAGACCCAGGAATGCTGGGCAGCGAAGAGGGCAGGAGGGGGGGGGGCGAAGGAGGAGGAGCAAGTAGGGGGAAGGGGAGGACACGGAGGACGATTGAAAATATGGGAATACGAGGAGGGGGAGGTGGAGCAGGAGGTGGACCAGAAAGAGGTGCAACAGGGGAACGAGGGGATAGAGGAGGGAAGGAGGATAGCGAGGAAGAAAAGGAACCCAATATGATAAGGAGGGGGAGGAGCAGGAAGAGGCTGAGGAAGAGGAGGAGATGGTAAGTTTTGTTTACCACTGAGGTACCCAGGGGCCTCCAAAAGACCCCGGAGGCCTCTAAATGGCCAGAAACGTCAAACCAGTTACAGGCAGCAACCATAACAAAACACTCGCCTCTGGATCCTCGAGCGTCGGGACCTCGCTGCTGCCTCTGCCACTACTG